GAACTTTTACAAACATCTATGTATAGTATTGAACTATATTATGTAACTTATATCTATGTAGCGCGGGAATCGACAAAACAAATTAGTGATTTTGTCGGGTATCAATTTTTTTGATCACCAGAAAAAGATACTTTTGATCATCAAACGTATCTAGATACAAATGATTACCCAGAAAAGATACTTTTGATCGCCAAATTTTCCAACATGCATCTCACATTTTATTTCTCAACAAAGTGTAATGTACAACACAAGTATATTCATTAAGATTTTAACCAAATGAACAATAAAGCTGTGCTAACTTTTTTGGAACGCCCTTTTGCTTTTCGTTTGCCTAATGGTTGAATACGTGTTTTATCGCTAACTTGATACAAGTTAAATAAAATTGCTAATCCAACAGAATGCTTACACGATTTTACTAATAATAGCACAACAAGCTAACAGGTTGTTGCCACATCAGAAAAATATTGAATATAAGCTACCAGCGTGAACGGTAAATACCTAGTCAATGCAGTAGTCTTCTGGTGTGGCATCAATCCTATTGACTTGCTGTGCCATTAGTAAAATCGTGTAAGCATTCTGTTGGATTAGCAATTTTATTTAACTTGTATCAAGGTAGCGATAAAACACGTATTCAACCATTAGGCAACCGAAAAGCAAAAGGGCGTTCCAAAAAAGTTAGCACAGCGTTATTGTTCATTTGGTTAAAATCTTAATGAATATACTTGTGTTGTACATTACACTTTGTTGAGAAATAAAATGTGAGATGCATGTTGGAAAATTTGGCGATCAAAAGTATCTTTTCTTGATGATAAAAGTACATTTACTCGATTTTGTCGTCAACGACGCTTGCCATTTCAGACAAGAATCTTTAACACAAAAAAATGAAAAGAAGAATCTTGTCTGAAATGGCAAGAGACAAGAATCTTGCAAGAATATCCACCCAGTCAAAAAAAATATCAAGAGGACGAGTATGATGGAGCACTCTTTTTTGAAAAAAAAGAAAAGAGTACTCTTTTTCCCAAAAAGAGTGCTCCGAAAACGGAGTACACCTTCAGACTTCTACTGCTGACCTTCTTTTTGACTGGGAAGAACGTCGACCAGTGGTTACTGTAACTTTTGTACTCTACAACTAAAGTTGTACACACTATGCTTTGACTGAGCTGTGACTTTTTAATATTTTCCCTAATACACTGCAGACAAAAAAGAAAAAAATTCATAACTTTATAAAAAAAGGCATATGGGGCCAGATCCTTTTATGATTTTTATCAGTACACTATATAGTATCTTTTGAATGGAACGATAGAATGGAAATCTGTACTTTTGACGGATTACTTTCGAGAAAACATTGATCTGGGCTATTTCATAGAAAGATGCTTTAAAGTGTTGACTATTCTACATCAAATACCAAGAGTTTCTGTCTTGCCTCCTTCAACCATTATTCAAAAAAGCAATGAAACTATTTTTTCTTTACATAGTTAGTAGATTGAAAAATAAAATAATCATCGTTTGTTCAACTGTTATATTCAACTAGCACAGCTGAGACAAAATAAAAAAAAATTGTCTCCAACGGTCCCACTGAACACAACTCGTCTGGAATATCGATACTAACATCTTGTAGAAATTTTTTTCCGTCGCATATGAATATGTCACTGCACTACTTGTTTAATATTTCTTGTTGAAATATCAAATCTGGGCACAATAAATTTTGAGCATTTGAAACATTGTTTTCTTTGTACAGCATACATTCCCAATTTTATTTGGCAGCCGAGACACTTAATATCACCATGACAATATGGACCAAATGAGTCGACAATCCATACTAGATAATTAATATTCAAGTAGCCTGGTTGGTCAACTGAATGTTGGTGCTCTATTAACACATCGAGATTAGTGAATAATTTTCTATAACATTGTTTACGACGAAATTCTACTGTAGGCTGTTCGTTCAAAGTGAGTGAATCTGCGACGACAACTGAAAGTAGACGACGAAGTTTATCCTTCAATTCGTTTTTATTTTTAATACAATATGCTGTAATCATATACATTCTAATTGAAACTGATGGTATTTCAAATGACTTTTATCCAGCTGATAATTCATATAGTGGAAAACTTCCAGTTGGTTTTGAAACCCTTCGTTCGGACTGATGTCTGGTCGTTGTTTTACCAATCTTTCTAGAGCTTCGTCCATTGTCATTTTATATTTTTTTATCATATACATCAGTGCTATCGTGCTACTTCGTGATCTATCCGCATAGCAATGGATTAAAACAGTTTGTCCGTTTCTCGTAGCCGTGTCAATAAATTGGTAACATTGATCGAACTGAGTAAGCAGATTGGTTGAACTGACATCTTGCCCCGGTATGTAAAGACGTACTCGTTCATCATCGGCAGCATACGTTGGTTCATAGTCGAGAACGGTTAGAACGTGAGAGATATTGTACATGTCTAATATTTCGAACATAATCGTCGATCTGATCAGCAGTAAACATTTTTTCACCGGTGATCTGAAATGTAGACAAGACAAGAAAAGTAAATAATTTTCGAGCGTTTTGTTCGCAGATGATTAAACTTTTCTTCCATTTCAGCACATAGTCCTGCCATCTGATGTACATTATCGGAAAAAGAGTATTACGATGAACGCATGTGACCTTAAAGAATATTCTACATATCAATGTTGTTTCTTGTTACACTCATTAGGAGAGAAATTTAGTGTAACAGTTTGAAGCAAAACCAAACTTCCGTTTCGGAGATATCTCGAGTTTCTTTTTAGATAAAAGTGGTGGAAGGCTGATCGGACAGAAGTGAACACATCTATGACGTTAGGACAAAGGAGTTTAATTCTTTTAAAGTCTGCTATTTCTCTCTTTCTAGCAGTTCTCGATGCAAGTGGCAGATAGAAATATTTAACGGCATTTTGGAGGAAAATATTTGTACTAGACGTAGCAAACTGTAAAATTCTATTGAAGAGCGTCTCAGAGCAATCATATGTAGAAAATTTGATAGAGGACAGTAGCTAGAAATAGCCTTATAAAACATGGATTTTTAGGTCAACATCATCAACTAATTTGCTTCGACTGCTATCAGCTATGGAACATGAAAAGTATTTTAGAAGAGCATGGTCGTTTATTTAGCATAAACGCCAGTATCCGCATACATCTTTTTTTAAAAAAAAACAGACGTTTGTGCTATTGAACGCAACTATTTGAGCAGAAGCCTTGCGATAGAGTACATTCAAGCGCCCCATGTTTTTTTCCGTTTGAAACGGTATCATAAGGAGAAGGAATAAAACTTTTTTCAGGTGTTTGCTAATAGACAGATTGTTTTTCTGTTGATTTACCTAATTTTACACCTCTAATCACCCTATTTATCACTTTATTCGGATTAGCAGGAAGCATTAGTCTAAAATACTGAAACTGCTGCTCTAGGAGGGCAGCCGTTGAGCAAATCATTTGAGCTCTAATGCACAGACGTATCAGTAGACGAATTTTGTACTTCCTAGACTGATTACTGATCGATTTTAATTATAGGTCAGTATCTATTGGCTTATGATAGATATATGTGAAAAAACTGACGAATTTTCGAGGAACAAAGCCTGACATAGACTTTAAATACGTAGATGTTATTTGTCTTTTTGCATCGGACACAAAACGATGCTGCTGCCTTAAAAAAGTGTATGAACATTACACAACATTAATTCCAAAAGATTGTAACTCAAAAGTGTTGGCGAATGGCGATTGAATCTAATGCAACAAAAAGTCTTGTATACTTACTTTACATTCACACTGATCATTTTTGACTGATAAAGATCTATAGTATGGACCGAAACGTCTCAAATTAATACACTTGTTACTTTGGAAATATGTTTGAAAAGGTGACTGTAATTCTGTTATTCTTACTAAAACATTCTCACGTTGCAAAAAAATTATTCAGTTAAGAAGTAATTGGTTACCTCTCCAGTAATATTCACTTAAAACAACTGAATTTAGTTATCGTGTTAAATCCTATGACATATATCTTAAATATGCTAAATTCCGCCGATTTTTCACAAAGCAAACAACTTCTAAAGTTCGATTTTTTTTGGGTACGAGTTTCATCAAGATGTTTTCTTTTTGTAGATTGCTTTTACTCTGTGGAGGCAAAATCTAAATTAGAGATATTTTTGGCAAAACTTTTGACTTTAGTAGTCAATCGCTCTCTGACTTTGAGCAAGATCTACTTCAGAAAAAAAGACGTTAATGTCTCTGTACAGAAAGTGGGATCCTCAACAAAATTTGTGCTAAAAATCTTACTGCATCAGTAATTTAACGACTTATTCAGGAAGTCTCATGTTTATATAAAACATGTCATGTGTATTCACCAAAAGTAATCAATAGTAACAGGTAAATAAGGATTTTTGTTTTCTAGATGACAGTAAAATCGATAAATTTAAAAAATGTTTGTGATAATTTTCGATAGCTATAGCACATACGATACTCACTATTTGCGCTTGTCATAAAGCAGTAAAATCAAATAAAGTAGTTTCATATTAGTTGAATAGAATCTGTTGTTCTAGAAGTAAAACAGTATATTGAAAAGAACAGTGCAAAGGCTGTATGACACACTCATATATAAATATTAGGTATAAGTAGATGTCTGCATACACACAATTAATATTTGCACAGGTGGATTTTATCTTGTGTTCTTTCATCAAAATAATATTTAGCTCGTTATATTTTTCTGAGTAAAAAGGTACGTCAATATTTTGCCGTATCATTTATTAGAAAAAAAGATCAAATTCATGAGATTCTGTTAAAAATATGATAAAGTATACTTTTTAGGAGAAATTCTTCCGCTGTTCACATATAGCAAGATCAGTTGTGATTATCATGGATTATCCATTATTTATTAAAATAGTTTTTATATTTTATACTTTGGGATCATGGTCAAAGCTGTACTTAGAGGCAACAACAATTACTAGTGAGTTTGCTGATCTTATTCTAATGAATTGTGATGTTGTGACAATGGACGATAATCTCCCATCTGCTCAAGCAATCGCAATTAAAAATGGACGAATAGTGGCTGTTGGGTCAAATAATGATGTTTTAATGTTTAACGATGTGTCAAAGACAGAAATTCTTGATCTTAATGGGAAAACAGTTGTACCCGGTTTTATCGATAGTCATAGTCATATAGGCGATTATACACAACTTTGGGGTCTTCCAGATTTAGCACCACCACCTGTGGGTACAGTGAACAATTTTGCCGATATTAATAGAATCATTCGTTCCTATATTAGTCAAAAACATATTCCAGCTCAAGAATTTGTATTAGGATACGGTTATGATGATTCTATGCTTGATGAAAGACAACATCCACAACGAACAGATTTAGATCATATAACAAATGATCATCCATTTTGTTTATTACATATATCTCAACATTTAGCCGTTTGTAATAGTTTAGCATTGTTGAAAGTAAACATAACACATAATAATATACCTGTTATTCCAGGTGGCGTTATTATTTTAGATAATAATGGTGAACCGACCGGTCGTTTAGAAGAACAAGCTGTACTATTTGTTATTTATAAATTAATAAAGCCTAAAAACATTGAACAAGCCATCAAAGATTTTAAAAATATTCAAAATTATTATGCAAGTTTTGGTATAACAACAGCTCAAGATGGTTATACAAGTAAACAATTTACAATTGAATTATTGTTAAAAAGTGATTTGATATTAGATGTTGTTTCTTATCTTGCGTGGACGAATGCTGAAGAATATATTGATGAATATAAAATTAATATTAGTAAAACTTATAATAGAAATAATAATCATTTAAAATTTGGTGGTATTAAAATAATTCAAGATGGATCACCACAAGGAAAAACAGCATATTTAACACAACCATATTTAAATCCACCAATTGGTCAATCAAATACATATCGTGGTTATCCAATTATGGAACAAAATCAATTAGACTTTTTTTATGATAAATTTTATTCAAGAAAATGGCAAATACAAACACATTGTAATGGTGATGCTTGTATCGAAATGGTGTTAAATTCAATTGAAAAATCACAAATGAAATACCAAAATTATACAGATCAACGATCAGTTATTATTCATTCGCAAGTTGTTCGATCAGATCAACTTCACCAGTATAAAATATTAAATATTATTCCTAGTTTTTTCGAAGCACATACATTTTATTGGGGTGATTGGCATCGAACAGAAACATTAGGTGAACAACGAGCAAAATTTATTAGTCCATTACGTTATGTTTATGATGAACAAATGCGTTTTAGTATTCATAGTGATGCGCCAATTATTCCACCAGATCACATGTTTCTTATTTGGGCTGCAGTTAATCGACAAACACGTTCTGGTATTGTCCTTGGAGCAGATCAATGTATTACAGCATTTGAGGCACTGAAAGCCTGTACAATAAATGCAGCATATCAATATTTTGAAGAAAATATAAAAGGATCTATTACATTGAATAAATATGCTGATTTAACCATTTTGTCAGAAAATCCGACAAAAGTTGACTCGAATAAAATAAAAGACATAGTTGTGTTACAAACAATAAAAGAAGGTAAAACAATATTTTTAAGAGAAACGAATTACGCTTCAAAGTATTCTTTTACAATTGTTATTCTTTTGAGTTGTTTAGTATCATACATAATATTAATATCATTCTTTAGAAAAGAATGATGTTAAAGAAATGTCTCTTGGTCAAACACGCAGTTTATTACAACTAAAATATCCACTATCGGCGTCAAAATGCAGTGCACGCGGATGTTTTTTTGAATAACGTTTGAACCAAATGCGCTTGAGAAGTGCTTTCACCATTTTGAACTAAATTCATGACGCTATCGGACGACCTAAGAATTATCTGATAAATACCAGTTTCAGGTGGTGTACCTGCTCGAACAATATATTCGACAGAACCTTGGAAAGAATCCTAAATAAACTTTTTATTCTAAATTTACAATAGGTCGGGGAACTCTGAGAATAAGTAGAAACATAGGCTATCAACCACGCTGAACCTCGTGGCGACCTCTATTTTAATATTAAAATCAGAAAAAGCTCGAAAGAAACATTTTCAAGAAAATACAGATTTACCGCTTTAACCGTATTAAATTAAAAATCTCAAAGCGACTATAATACTTGGCCAACATGCATCAAACTTACAGAATATACCCGTGAGGTTTTCTTTGTCGATCGAGAACCAGTTGATAGGCAGTAAAAACGATCACTCGGCGATTTCGGTCATAAAGTCGTGATTATTGGAAATGATCATTTAGTCGGACCGTCATGGCGACGAGGAAAAGAATCGCGATTTCATGGTGTAAAATTGCGACTGAAAAGCAGTTGCAATGAATCAATAATCTAGACTACGACTTCAACCGAATTTTTGTACGGTAATGCATTGCGAATGACAGATAATAAATGCAAAGTTGTATCGCAACTTCGCTTTTATTACCAGTCGGTCACGATTACAAAAGCACCTGAGATTTACCATTACAAAACAGCGGTTAAATGTGAACCTCGATCGATCGATACTCTTCGTCATCTCCGATCAACCGTAATATCTTTCTGGTCTCAATTACCCACGTATAACTATCAATTATTTTCTACTTACGATTAATCGATTGAGATGATTACTCACGATTAATCGAGATCTCATTTTTGGCCTAGTATAAATCATCAGTTTATACGTAGAGTCACAGCTCCTTCCTAATTATAGCAGGAAAATTTTTCTATTTCGTATCTCTATTTTATCAGCTATTTCTCAAGTAATAAGAGGGAATTTGAGATTCGGGAATAGAGCAGACAAGTCTCTATCTTGCTATGTTAAATTTTTTTCGTCCAAACTAGTATCCGTACCAAAATGTAATGTAGGTTGCCGTTTCTTTAATAACTCGAAGACGATGATAGATGGAGAGTTGCGGTTTTCACTGATGGAAAGAGGACTATTTCCCAATCTTTTCAAAAGCAAAAATCGAAGTCGAAAAAATTTTGAAGATAGGTTTTTCAGCGAATCTTTGAAAACCGCTTTATATCTCTGGAACCTCACGTAATTACATACAGATTTTTTCTCATAGATATATAGTCCAACATGTCTTCTAAATGTTGGGATCTAAAGGACTTCTTACGTTCGCTTGGTTGGGCGCAGAAAGCCGTATTTTCGAGGACACACCTATCTCCTAACCTTAAGGTTTGAGAAACTCAAAAACACATGGGAACATAGGTTATCGACTACGCTGAACATCATGGCGATGTTTATTTCCTTCCCGAAGCAAAATTTGTCTCTCTATTGGAGTACCAACATCCTTAGAATGTATGTCTATCGTAAAAAATCACACTTTTATTCATCTCATTCTTTCTCTCAGCGTCTGTGTTTCTCTTCATCTATCTCTGGTATTTAGCTCATTCTTCTCAATTGTACGTGAGTGTGAGAGTCTAAAGGATTAGTTTACGAGTAAAGGAACATGGATAAGTTGTCACGTATCAAAACAAAATAAATCATTGATGTCAGAGAACATGCTCGATTTTTCTTGATAATACCGTAGTAAAACTACAAAGGGTAAGAAAGACAAACACATTTTGAATTTTAACATAATTCGCGCGTGCGCCGTTCGTCTGCCTGCGCGGTAAAAGTAGCGTGACTCATATACTGATATCAGAGGGAAAACGCGAATAAATAGACACTATAGCAAAATACTTGAGAGTCATTGATTTTTGTATGAGCGCGAAAGAACGCGTCTTATTTCACGAGTCTTACAGCTAACCCGTTACGCGATCCGGCCGCAATTTTTTAAATGACTCGCGCGGCGACATGCGAGAAGACAGTGGACCGGGGCTCCGCTAATAAAATACGGACATAAACTTGAGAATGGAATAAACGAGTAAAAATTTATCGGGTTCGGGTAGGATTCCGACGTTGACAGGCCGAGTCGACATTTTGCAGTCGGGTCGAGTTACGTTTTCTTAACCCATACAGGTCTGTAGTATCAAATTAATTCTTTCTGTCTTCTAATATAATATAGCTTCAAAGAGTATAAACTTTACATGTTAAAATTCAACGTAAAATGTGATATATGACGGTAGTTTGCAACAATAGAAACAAGCAAACGAAATTCATACGATAGATCATTCGATGAAGTCATCAGTTTTGGAAAAATGTTCTAGAAGAGATTTTCCAAATTATTTCAGAATTCGCCACAATTCTTCCCACACAGTAATTTCCCATGTATTTTCTGTTTCAAAAACGCTTGTTTGGCAACAGAAAGTCGTATTTTAATGGATGTTCCAGAAGAAAAAATCGGTCACTTAGTATTTTGCTCATATCTCCGTTGAATTTTATGTCCTAAGTTTTATTGTTTTCTCAAAAGATGTGCCATGAAATTTTCTACAAAAAATATATTAAACAGTTTTCTATATACCGTAAAGATAAAAGAACATAGAAGAAATACTGTGAAACTTCAATCTCGATTACTTTGCAGCGCAAGAAAACAAAATTTTTTTAATTTTAGTCCTTCGTATTATGCGAAGCAAAAGATAAGAAGATGGTGATTCGGTAGTCCTTGAAAAGCTCTATCAAGTTGGCTATATTTAAAGCTCTTCGTAATTATAATCGGTTGTGGAAGAATTTTTTTTCTTTTATCGATTTTTCTCGACATCAACATTTTCCAACTGCAGTTTTGACGCAGTAAGAAAAACTTTTATAACTTGGTGAAAATTAAACATTTTGAGGTCGGGTTTGTTGTATCTTAAAGTAAAATAATTCTTCTATTACATCCTTACAGGCACAGTCCAATATCTTCTTTTTCGTTTCCTGTGGCACGGAGAAAAAGACAAAATTTCCGTTCTTTTAGTAAATTTTCGTACAATTGTCTTTTGTGCCAGAAAAATATGTTTAAACCGAACCTACGATAGACGAAAAAAAAGACGACACTTCAAAGCATTAGAACTTGCGTTCTGATTCCACCTTTATGAATGACACACCGCACTTAAAAATTTTTCATTTCATTGTTTCTTGCGTTGCAAAGTAATCGAGATTGAAGTTTCACAGTATTTCTTCTATGTTCTTTTATCTTTACGGTATATAGAAAACTGTTTAATATATTTTTTGTAGAAAATTTCATGGCACATCTTTTGAGAAAACAATAAAACTTAGGACATAAAATTCAACGGAGATATGAGCAAAATACTAAGTGACCGATTTCTTCTGGAACACCCGTTATGTAGAATATTCAATAGAAGACTTTTGTGATGTCTAGAAAGAAAGTTATGTAGGTGGAAAAAACACACGGTAAAACAAACCATAGATATTCCATCTCTACGCTTTTTCAACGCCAGTTTTCAATGCTTTTTTTACTCTACTATTAGCTGACAGTTTTCGTCATACTTTTGATGGATGGAGTTTTAATAAAGGCTGTTTTATAACAAGAGCGTGTTTTAGACTAAGTTTTTTATTATATATAGCGCTTACTCAGCTTGTATAATAGAACAATTTTATTTCATTACAACAAAACAAGAAAAACCTCTCTTATTTTTCTATTAATTGTGTTTTTAGTTCATATGAACCAGTTTGTCGATTAAGCTCTAAAATACAAAATTCACAATTACGAAAATTTTTTAATTCCTGATGTTTTTCTGTTGTCCAACGAAAATATCTCATTAAAAATAGACGCATAAATAGACCATGACTAACAATGAGAATATTATCAGATGGAAAATAACCAGTATTCATTTCTCTAGAAAGCGTATCCAAAAATAGTGAACAACGATCATAAACATCAGCACCACTTTCACCATTACGAAAACGATAAAAAAAATCACCAACTTTCTTTTGCTCAATTAATTCTTGTTCACGTACTGACGGATCCATAAGATTACCCCATTCTTGTTCACGTAAGCGTGGATCTTCACGTACATTTAAAATTTGTTGAGCAGAAAAGGAACTAAATGAACAGATATCAAAACAATTAGATCCACATTCTCTAGTACTTCATGGATTTTGAGTGCTCTGGTACAATTTCTCGCCGCTGAGAGCTAGAAACTTCAAGAAAACATTCTATTTTTTGTCGAGAAATGAAAGAACTAAATATCTGATATGTTTCAAAAAACGTTTTTCGATCTAGTTTGAAGGTCAGAACTAATATAGCCACAAAATGGTGTAAAATAAACAAACTTGTCTACTAGTTTTTATTTTTTAAACTTTGATTCGCACTTAAAACCAGTTTAGTCTTGAGTTTACAACCGTATAAACAACAAAGAAAGCATTAGTACACAACTTTTCTTGGACAGAGAAGGGTTTTTCTAGGAAAATTTAGTTCAATATAGCATTTGAATTGTGAATCTTATTGAAAGAAAAGTAAGGTGCCCGTAATTCAAAGTTTCGGTGACTTTTTCTTTTGATATATTTATACATGGTTGGAAAGAGAACATCGAGCTGAGTAAGAAAAGTTAGTTTTAAGTTTTGAAAAACTTTACAGGATCGATTTTGCTCAAAATCACTACAGTTTTAAAACATTCAAATTTTGCATTTTCGAACTCATGTTTTTGAATTCAGCATTGAAGACTGAGTATAGAGAAGATGTCTGATTGATCTCAAATCTACAAAACTGATTTAGCCTGCTTCACTTGAACTGACCGTCGAAAACAACAGCAGATTATTTTGCAAACCTGTCTAGTTTTTGTGTCAGTAAATTTTGTCATTTCTCTTATTTCATTCCAATCGTCAAACTGTCTGTCTGCTTTAACATGACGCATCGATTTTATTTAATTTTGTTTTCTCACTGAGAAAATTTATTTTAGTTAAACCAGAAGCGAAAAAATCAGAATTCTACCCGTAATTCTCATCGTTCTCCACTAGAAGTCATTTCTCATGCAATAAAAATACCATATTCAGAATCGCCATCAAAAACTGAGTCGAATAAAATACATATTTCAAAACTTTTCGTTGATTTTCATTTTTTCGTGAAAATCTCAGTAATTTTTCGAGGTGAAATTTCTAGAAAAACGAAAGTTGTCGGATAGGAAAGGATACATCAGTTGACTCAGAAGAACGATGAGAATTACGGGTAGAATTTTGATTTTTTCGCTTCTGATCTAAGTAAGGTGCACGGAAAGCAAACTGACAGTGAAATTTATTTTTGGCTTTGTTATATATATTCTGATTCACCAGGTCATGCTGATCACGAATATCACCTTCCGAGCTCGAAAAAATTGAATCTTGATGGAGAAAACCGCGAAATACTGAGATGAGGTCGAAAACGTTAAAATCCGTTCTTTTTC